AACACCCTCCTGTCCCCAGCACCCTGCTGTCCCCAACACCCTGCTGTCCCCAACACCCTGCTATCCCCAACACCCTGCTGTCCCCCTACACCCTCCTGTCCCCAGCACCCTGCTGTCCCCAACACCCTCCTGTCCCCAACACCCTGCTGTCCCCAACACCCTGCTATCCCCAACACCCTGCTGTCCCCAACACCCTGCTGTCCCCCAGCACCCTGCTGTCCCCAACACCCTGCTGTCCCCCTACACCCTGCTGTCCCCAACACCCTGCTCTCCCCTCTCAGTCCTCTGCTCCTGGCCATCTCTGCCCCATCTCCATCAGCTCCTCAAGGAGGGATGCCCGCCCCTAACCCAAGGCTGGTGGGTGAGGGGTCTCACCTCTGTGCCACCTCTCAGTGCCACCTCTGTCCCCATCCGTGGGGACAGTCCCTGGCTGCTAGACAGGAGCAGAGCCCAGCTCTTCCCCCAGAGCCTGGGAGGAGGAGGACTGACCTAGTTTCTTCCAGGGAGGATGAGTACCCAGGGGTGCCTCAGTGCTGTGCAGAGGGGAGAGGAAAGGGGAGGTGACCCCCCAGAGGGGACCTCCCCAGGTAACCTGCCACCATCTTCACCTCCCAGGGTGATCCCGGTCCCAAAGGTGCTGATGGTGCCCCTGGTAAAGATGGTCTCCGAGGCCTGACTGGCCCCATTGGCCCCCCTGGCCCTGCTGGTGCTCCTGGTGACAAGGTAGGACCATCCCCCAGCTGGACACTGCACCGGGGACCGACGTGTCCTTGTCCCCAGCACCTGCTCCTTGGCACAGCCTTCACCTCCTGGTTTTTTTTGGTTTTCCTCCCCTTTTCCAGGGTGAAGCTGGTCCCCCCGGCCCTGCTGGTCCCACTGGTGCCCGTGGTGCTCCCGTGAGTGTCCCCCCACCTTGGCTGATGGCCCTGCTATGGCTGGCCATCCTGTGGTGACTGTCCCCTACCTGGGGTGACCCATTCCCACCATCTTCCCTAGGGTGACCGTGGTGAGCCCGGCCCTCCTGGTCCTGCTGGATTTGCTGGCCCCCCTGTAAGTGTGATGGCCTCACTCCTCCCTAACCCAGGGGGACCTGATCCTACCCCACCAACGGGGGGGTCCTGCACCCCTCGCCCTGGCTCACCCCACTTTGCCCCCCACAGGGTGCAGATGGCCAGCCTGGTGCTAAAGGTGAAACTGGTGAAACTGGAGCCAAGGGCGATGCCGGCCCCCCCGGCCCTGCTGGCCCCAGTGGTGCTCCTGGCCCTGCTGTAAGTTGCTCCCCCCGTCCCCCTTCTCCCCCTTGCACCCCCAACCCATTTGTGGCCCAGCCCCCCGCTGAGGCTCACCCCTCTCCTCCTCTTCCTCCTCCTCCCAGGGTGCTGTTGGTGCTCCCGGTCCCAAAGGTGCTCGCGGTAGCGCTGGACCCCCTGTAAGTACCAGTCTTGTTTTGAGGGGGGAGGGGGGAATTTTGGGGACCCCCCCCCCAGGCATGAACACACCCCCGAGAGGGTTTAACTCCCCTCTCCAACCTCCTGACACCGTGGGGCAGAGGGGAGCTGGGGCACTTCCAGCCCTGCACCCCTAAAACCATTCGGGGGGACAAGGGGGACCTGGAGTGGCTTCGTCCCATGGAGGGGTTGGAGCAGAGGGGAAAAGGGGGTGGGCGAGTTGCCTTTATGCCCCCCCCCCAAAAAAAAAAAAAAGCCCCAGCCTCTCTCCTGGATGGAAA